GATGTTGGACATTTTCCTCTGGTCGTCGGAATGACTGGAGAAAAGAGAGTATATAAACCAGTTCTCCTCGTATCGTATAGCATACATTATACGAAGTTATACGAAGTGCAATTTTCTGTTTCTTATGAAAACTTAGAAAGTCACGGGCGTACTGCGGTAGGAACTGTTTCGGTCGGTTCTTTCACGCATTGTGGCCCTAATCATGAAATGTTTTCAGGTAACAACTTCACATGGTAGTGAAAAAGAATCAGCCGAATAGAAACTAGTCAGAGCTGTTGCCGGCCAAAAACTACTTGGACTCGTTTTCTAGTCGTTTTCTCTACGTTAAGTTTCTAATTAGCGCCATTGCTGCGGTAGTTTCTAACGAAAATCGCTTGAATTGCGTCGCATAGTCGTAAGAACCATCAGAACCTCGCAATCTCGAGGAAGCTCATTCACAAGAAGTTGTTCGGAAGTTTTCAGTCTACAACTCCACTCTTCCCGGTTGTTGCCACGCTTGCGTGACTGGCGTAAGTCTTTGTTCTGGTATATGTTCTGTCGCCGAGATAGTACTACTCCGATTCCACGATTGCAACTGCTTATCTGCGCTGTGATGACCAGGGTTACTCAACACCATCCTCGTAAGGGTGGGGGGGGGCGCAGTTAGCTAAGAAGAACGGACGGGGTGTAAAGTTGGTCTGCGAACTGAATAGCGATCAGAATTCAGAATTCGTGGATTTTTCGGTGAAAACTATTTCAAGGGAGAATCTTATAGGAGGTAAGCAAACCAGCCCTTTTGGCGTTTCGGCTGGGACCGTATGCTGAATGTTGGGGAGGGGATGGGGTCCCCAACGGTCGACGGTTTACTTCAACTCGGTTGGTACGATAGGAGAGTACTGACGCAAGTGGTGCAGCTGGTCCAGCAGCTCCGCCAGAAGGGCTGGTTTGCTCACCCCAGGACTAAGCCTTGGAGAGGGGACGGACCCGTCCTCTCTTTAAGGCTTAGTTCTGAGGTAAGCACCAAATTGTGGCGGTTCTAAGGACCGAGTTGAAGTGGTCCGTCCACCGTCGGGGACTCCATCCCCTCCCCAACATTCAGCATACGGTCCCAGCCGAAGCGCCAAAAGGGCTGGTTTGCTTACGTCCTGTTATAGAAGCTCCTTTTTTTTTTTTTTATCCTTGTAGAACTTTAATGATTTTACCAGTTCTAGCCATACGCATAACTACTTAGACGCGTTTGAGATAAATTAGTTGTTAGTTTGAGTGTTCATGCCGTTTGGTAGCTCAAACAGTAGCGATCAACAGAGTGGAGACCTTTTTGTTTTTGTCCCTGCCTATAGCAATGAAGTTATCTCAAATTCACGTATTTATATAGGCAGCAAGTGTACCTAGAATAACATAGTTCCCAGCACCAATAATTGCAATTGAGAAATACGATTTTTCATAAGGGGCAGCGCGTCAAAACTTTAGAAACACTCAAGTTGAGATCGAATTCAGCACACATCCATAATGGAAATTAGTGATTTGTATAGCTCAGTTCTGAGTTTCTATGATGGCATCGTCTTTATTGACTTTGAATAGATTAGAACTCATTTAACTGCTCCTTAATCGAAGCCAACACTTTGTGGACTGAATAAAATTGTCAGGTGGGGTTCTTCACTAGAATATGGGGTGTACGACATGCCAGCTCTTCCCTGGGATGTCGTATACCCCATATCTTAAGAGTTCAGATCCTGACTTGGTCGCCTTATAGCAACTTCTTTTCTGGGTTTAGGAAGGCGGCAATCAGGAGGTACACAGGCTTATTGGTCATTGCGGAGATCGAAAACCCATATTCTTCGGCTAATTCCGATAATCGAAGAGAGGTATTGCATTCCTCAGAATATCCTTGTATTCAGTCCAGCCCCACTGCCAAATTGTCCCACACCTTTATCTATGGACAATGCCACCCAGTATTCCTCGCACTGGTTAGACATTGCCCAGCCCGCGTGCATCGACGGGTGTGCACGTCGAAACTCCCACATCTGTCATTTGTGCATCGTCCCGTATGCGCATTGGTTTGAGCTCCCCTTATATCTTTTTTTTCATTACTTCTGTAGCTGTAGAAGTTCCACTAGTGAATTGAATCCATTAAACACATGGCTGCTCTCCATCTTCACTTTCAAGAAACTTTTGGAATTTTAATTTGCACAACAAGTGCCTCAGTTTGAACACTTATGAACTTGATTACATCAATTCTAATGGCTACTAGTTACTAAATATATTTTCTGATGAGGAGCCGAGCAAAAAATAAAAAAAATATGGGTCTTGTACCGAGGCACATGGGTAATGTGGGTAGTGAAAGTTCCACAAAATATCCCGAATGTGAGATTTTTGCATCGCCGGGTATGCACGCAGGTAATGCAGCTATGTCACATGTGTGACATGCGCCTAAATTAGTGCGGGCGTCAATGTGTTAAAGGGTATGACAACAAAAATTTGGTTCACTGTTGACAGAACACTTCACAGAGCTCACAACTCCGTTTTCAGAGAGGCAGAAGTTCCATTCGTCGTTGGCCATCCAATTTTTACCTCTTGCCTCCGATCCATATAATTATACATACATACGTACCCGTAAACGAGTGCGTTCACCGAGAAGTATATATGCTTCGTTCAGAAAAGTTTCAATGAGCCGTACAAAATTCGGTTCGATCAATTTACCTCTTTCTTACTATTGTTGCTATTAACATGAGAATGAAAAGTGTACTAGAAGTGAAAACAAAACGCTGGAGATGGGCCACATAAGTGTTTCGATTGAAACAATCGTAGTTAGAATGTATTCGACTTTCACTGCGGCGAAAATGGCAAAATGTTGCCTATTTTCCGCCTACACTTTCGTTTTGATCTGCTATCCTCTGTAGTGCATGCCAAACTTATTAGTTTTTTTTTCTATTTTCTTGGACATCTATGACTTTTGGATACTTTAATTTCTCCCCTAATCGTCCGGTTTCCTTTTTCGTGCCTCGCAAGTTGTGCCAAGTTGAGTCAAACTTACTAGGCCTGCCCACTTTTCTTGTAACGCTGCGGTTGCCCACTGCCACTAACTTAAAAGCTATGTCTCAAACGTTTTGAATCGTTGTTTCCCTAGGTTTCTCACCTCGACCCACTAAGACAGTTTCCCACTGCGCACTAAGCGCCCTCTCTTGAGTGGTCATAGGACCCTTCTCCACCCAGTGAGGCTATCCACGCAGCCAAGCGGTCTTTCTTACGTACTGCTACAGCTCCCGCCAACTGAGGCCACTAAGGCACGCTGAGGCATAAACGCTGAAACATTGGAACGCCGGAAATCAATAATGGAGCCTGGACCTTAGTAAAGTGTGTTCAGCGATTCAGGAATGAAACCCTTTCGTTGCCCGTTGACTTCCGCATCGATACGACCATCGCTGCTTCATCGCTAGCGCTTTCTGTAAACGTCCAGAAAATGGTCTACCCTTGCTTTACTCCCAATGGGCAAATTGTTGATATCCGCTGTTTTCACAACATCACTGCTATATAAGCTTTCGACGCTAGTATGTCTCAATTTATTTGTCTCTACTCTTCTATCCGGATGGCTGCTATCCACTTCTCGATAAACCCACCTAACGATTCGCATTCTGCAAACTACACTGGAAGCAGGTGCGACCACTTTTCCCTCACACACTAGCGTCGAAAGCCGTGATGTTTTGGAATGAGAGTGGAAACAGCGGATATCAACAGTCTGTCTATTGGGAGTAAACAAGGTAGATCATTTCTCGTTACGTTACAGAAAAGCACTCTTGCTAAGCGGCTAGAGACCGACAGCGAGGGGATTGCTATTGGTGGGCGTGCAGACGCACGAGCGGGGTAATATGGCTCTGTTGAAACGTTGAGGGCGGCTCTTTGCTGCGAAGCGCAATACGTTAGGCACTCATCATCCTTTCAAATAGGTGAACTGTCCCTTCTTCAATCCACTAGGTAAGCTGTCCCTTCTCCAATATTCTACCTTAGTGGAATCCTCTTTTAAATTGTGGTATTAATATAGAGCACCGTTACTCAGACTTTGAATCTTTTATTAGTAGGTTTGATAACTGATGAGTGAATGGTTCTCTCCCATTTCAGAGTATGTACTGGTTCAACATGGTTTTGATTGGAACCGTGGCCGCACTCGACAATGGCCTAGCCAGGTTTACTATTATTTTGCAAAATAAAGTATTGTTATTGGTGGTTACATGTATGTTTAATCCGTCAAAACTGGAGCCTAATTACTGAATCGAGAAGATTCGGAGTAATCCATGTTCTTTACAATTTACTCCCCATTGTGTCGTCGGTAAGAGGATAAAAAGGGTCTCATGTTAACCCAGGTAAAAGCCATCCGTTACCAGGAAATCATTAAGGTGTGACCACCCCCTTGAGCTTCGCTGATACCCGGTTTCTGCCGTGTCCTGATGGCCATCCGCCGATGTAGTAGCCGTTCTTGGAGCACTGGCGGCGGGAGCACGTTTAGAAAGCAAAATCGGGTAAGGCAGGGTCAGAATTGTGAGAGCCTAAAAACACCATAACCACGCTTCTCGCATGGATCGCTCTCCCGTGTCTGTTTTAGGCTTGTGACCGCGTGACCGCTTCGGGACAACAAATGTTGTTTTGTCCGAATACTTTTCTTCTGCCCTCTCCAGCGATTAGTGGAATGCAAAAAGTTTAAGACGGAATATCAGTTCAGGGTTCCCTCAACGGCTGATTAAAACCCAGTCTCCTGAAAGATTGAGCAGATAAGCTGTCTGAGCGTTGGCGTTAGGTGCTGCGCATGAGTCGTTTACACCTGCAGTCTCCATGTACATAGATCTGTTTTTGAATTCTCACCGAGGAACAATGCTGAAATCTTTTGGTTAGCCTTATAATTCCGTACACATTGACGACAACAAAACGTATGAGATTGCTGGCAGATACACTCTTTTTTCAAAGCCAGATGACTTTTCGAAGTCTTTGATACAGAGTAAGTGATACTGTTCTATTTTCGGACCCCTCCAATGGGATGGATGTCATGGACGGCTTTCTATTGCCAGATGGACTGTGTGAATCGCCCAAAAGCGTGCATCAATGAGAATCTCTACATGGAAATGGCAGACGCACTCGGTGTGCTTTTCGTATCACTGCTGCAGGAAGTTCCGCTTTTGTAATTTCGAACTCCTAAAAATGCCGCTACCTAAGTTTAACGAGTAAGCATGCTCTGGCATAACACTTGCAGGGTTACTTCGCTCAAAAATAAAGGAAATGGCACCAAAGCTCTGACAATATTGGCCCTTTTCTCAGGAATGGGTATTTTTGAGGGACAGGGGTGAGATGGGACATAAAAAACGTCCCAATGAGAGGGAAAAATCGGTGACGGACATGGAGACGGAAGGGACGGATTTCCCCCATGACGTCAAATCGTGTGCGGAGCCTTGCGTGTGTTGTAGAGTTCCAAGAGCAACCTGAAACAGCTGTGTGATAGTTTTGTGCCGCATGGTTGGTACCGCCCGTGTAATTGTCCATTTTGCTGGAGCATCGACTCCGATTGACCTAATCAGGGTTATGCCTCTGAAGCGCTGCATCTTTCAGTTATGGGAGGTTATCGAGATGCCGGTTACGTGAGCGTGCATGTAGACGATTGCTGGATGGGACGTGCCCGGGACTGGTACACCGGAAAGCTTATCGCCGATCCATTGCGCTTTCCCAGTGGAATGCTCAATTTAGCCAGATACGTTGGTATATATCATTTTCGGAATAAATCTGTAAGTCGTACCTATATACAACCTTCAGATGCACTACAGAGGTTTGAAGTTTGGAATCTATGAGAACTTGGGGACAGTGTCGTGTGTCGGATTCCCTGGAAGCTGGGGACATTTACAGGTTGTTTGGTTCCATTGTTCACATCAAGAGTAATGCATTTCCGCTATTCATACATGTTACATGCTCATACAGGTGGATGCCAACACATTTGCCGAATGGGAAGTGGACTACTTGAAGCTTGATGGATGTTATGTCAATCCTTCTCTGATGCCAGTGGGTAAGGTTTATTCGAGACATCGGACACGGCAGCAGCATGGGTCTACTTTAAATTTGCATAAATGTCTTCGGATCTTCATTTCTGAAGAGAACGAGAAGACGGAAAAGTTGCTCTTAACGCAAGCAATCCAAAGTACTACTGTTGACCGGTCACTAGTGTGGGTGGCAGGAATTTTAGGAAGTTATTTAGACTGCTCAGTCCTCCCTACCCTGTATCTGCGGAACTCTTTATTTTCACTCATCCTAGCCAATAGTTCCGCTATAACTTGAAAAGCTTGAGCTTACTGAATCGGATAATGATATGTCGAACATTGAATCGCTTCGTACGACGCGTCATCTTCCACGTGGCAATACCAACAAACTTAAGGTTCCTTGATTCCGCCCTAATCTCTGTTAAATGTCAACCAACTGCGTTCTACGAAGTTTTTCCCTCTCATAATCAGAGTCTCCATGCATGGAATTTTGTACACTGTTGGCTGTTCTTAGTTCGCTGCGGGAAAAAAGGAAGCACATTCTCGTGCAAGAGGCCTAGTTTGCATCCATCCATCAAGAAAATGAAGGCTGACTTTTTTATGATGCGCCCCAATCATCTTTTCGTTGAAATTCTAACAAGAAAAGCATACCTTGTCGATGTGGTCATCTTTAGTAAGACACACATTGCTAGATGTATTTTTAATTATGATCTCAAATTGGCCTTACAAATTTGAGGAACGATTTGCTGAACGTATTTAAGAGCGAGATAGTGTAGTGACAGTAGCCAGGGCCGGCGAGCAACAGGTCGTAAGACTGAATTTCTGGCAAGTTCTCACTTCTGCCCTTTTTGGGACAAGATTCTAAGCCCAGGAGGTTAGGGTCGAATATCGTATATTTAACTGTGCGCGTCAAGTAGCGTGTCTAGTTGGCTGCACACTTCACAACCTAACACACAGCAAACACATGGAATCACTGGGTTCGTCCCCATTTCCTTAATCTACTTCTTTTTTAAGGTTTCTTCTGAGATATGAGAAGTACGCTTCCTTCTTCCTCTACTTCATTGCCTTCTCATACAGCTTCAGTTCAGTGCAACGTGCATGTGGATGTGTATGAGATTCATAGTGATCTTGGTTTGCCTATACCAAAATAATAACTGAAGAATTGCTGTCAGCGTAGTTTTCAGATCTTCCATGACTCTTTCATGGATGCTGCATAAGATCATGGTGCATCGAAACTTTGGTGCAATAACTATATTACAACCCCTGAATCTCAAAATGTTACTACCCATAGAGGTAGTAGTTCGCCACACTCCCCCTGTACAGAGTTACCGGAGCTTTGGAGGACCGGCACCATGATCCACCCCTAACTGAATAGCCCTAATCCTGACCACGACCTAATTAGTGAGAGGGCACAGGCGAGCAAAAAATAGACCAGAAGTGGCGTTGGTACCAAAAATGAATGTTACACACGTAATCAGGGCACCAAATAACCCTTGCATACGAGTTCATAGCTAATTTGGTGAAAGCAGCCGTTGTGACAAAGTGGCGTCAGCGAAAAAATAAATGTCATTTCCGAAATCAAGACATCGAATTACAAAGTTTCGACGAAAAGTAAAATTTTGAGACTTCGTTATTGTATTAGTTTACTAGAACCGGAACTTGTAACGACTCAGAATTCGAATAGGCGATGTTTCGCCGAAACGATTTTCGGCGCATTACTTTTTCTCACGCGAACAACGTCCTCCAAAGATTGATATACTATGTTGTAGTGTTTCTATATCCTCAAGACTCAAAGAATCAAGAAAGAATTGTCGAGGACACCATTGATTTTTTAGCAAAAAAAAGAAGCACGAAAAATCGTTTCGGCGAACAATTTTGACCCCGAACCGTTTCGGCGAACAATTTTGACCGCTACTGTATACTTGGTGTACTGAAACTATTGATAAAGTATTGTGCGTAAGTTTTGAATCAACTTGAACACTGAAAACCCACGCAACACCAATATTGGAACTGTAGTAGAAATCTAAACACATTTTCACTGTGATAAGTCAAACTTTACAAAATTTCGGGAAAACTTCAAAATTCCATCGGGACGAATCTTTCAACTCTACAAATCGAAGTCAGATTGAAGGAAATGAGGACGAACCCAGTGATTCTATGTGTTTGCTGTGTGTTAGGTTGTGAAGTGTGCAGCCGCACCAACTAGACACGCTACTTGACGCGCAGCATTAAATATACGGTATTCAACCCTAACCTCCTGAGCTTATAATCTTGTCTTTTTGGGACCCTGGTGAAAACACTCTTCTCCATCTTGAGTCATCAACGATCGCCTGTATTATCAGATCGTCTGGGAAGTAATGTGAGTTTTTATCCTTTGTTTTCAAAGAGCTTTATTCCCACCCGAATCCAACATTTTTATTCAAGACAAAGGCTGTTGGGAAAAACTGATTTTGCTTTTATGCAAACCCCGGGATTAGCTCGAATAGTAGGAAAAATACAGCGAGCGAAGTTGTGGGGTTGTACCTTCATAGATATTGTCAGTGGCGCAAATCCATTAGGAACCTGCAACCTTCGACCCTCGCTGCAACGCTTCCCAGCCACATTGACATTGCATTGATATAGAGATCAGCGTGCTCTCTCGAACGGCGTGCTCTCTCGCGTGTTTTGTCTTCTTTGATCGCCCTGTCTCGCCATCGTACCACATCCGACGTTACTGTAGGTTAGGCCTTAATTTTAGCGTTTCCGATGATTTCTCTTGCTTTCCTTTCCACTTTCAGCTCCTTTCGCAGCATATCATCACTAGGAAGCGCACTATACGCCAGTTTTTTTCCGTGGTATGCCTTTAACGATATGCTCTTTCGAATGTTGGGCCAACTAAAAATAAGCTTGAGGCTATGAAATCATCGAAACTCATTTTTACAGTACTTTGTTTTGTGAAGCATTCTTCATTTAAGAAGTTATCAAAGTGGTTGGAATAGCGGGCATTGGTGGGGAGAGGACCAGTAAGCATGACGCGTAGAGCAAAGCTCCGTACAGTAGTTTATTGAATCCTTGCGATGTCGTTCATGGGGCGTGTGGCTGAGCGTCATCATGAAAAAGCATTGTTTCACTTCTTTCGGTTGACGAACTTGGTGTTTCTAGAGAATCGTATATGTTGGAGTCTTGAAGAGCACCGCGGTCTAACTATTGAAGACATGGGTCCCTCTTGTCGTAGAGACTCTAATTTCTGTTGTAAATGACAGACGCATTTCGAATGCTGGTGGTTCTACAGTGGGTAGAAACGAAACCATAGAAAGACGGTTTCGCTGCTACACAGCCAACTCACTTGATGACCAACTGTTCAGCTT